TTTTTTTTTTTTGTGAACATATATTAATTAATAACTAGTACTCTCTCCTTTTTTTAGTAAGTGTCATTTTGAGAAGTTGCACGTAATTAAGAATTTTTTTGTCAATAATAACTTTTTTCCCAAAACGACACATAATTACAACCGATCGACAACCGGAATAGAAGCTGCTCAGGGAGGTCAGCCTAGATACCACAACGCACATTACAACACAAAAGAAAAAGAAAAAAAGCTCCACAAATGACACTAACTCCCCACAGGAGAATGACATTAACTCCCCACAGAAGAATAATACGCTCCTCCGAAAGAGAAGACAACAAAACACAACCTACAAAACAAGACAAACACACCAAAACACTAACAAAACACCACAAAACACAAAGCACAACACTAAGAAATAAAGGTACAAAGTGTTAGAGATATGCTGTAAAAGCTATGTTTTGCAGATTATATCAATTCCATTTTGATCTGGACATCATGTTTCAGTCAAAGTACGTATGTTTGCAGTTATTTATTTATGCAAATCATACTCCTTGTCTTATATTGAGATAGTGTGGTTCGAAGTGTTTCGTACAGAAAGATCACCTATCAGTTCCTTATAAGACTAAACTATTCGTTCACAGTCTAGACAGGTAGTAAGGTCCCTCTTGGAAAAAGTCTATAGTGTATTCTCGATTCAGTTGGTCTTTGACTGAAGAATTACACTAGCACTTATGATAAGTGTTGAACAGGACCGCGGAAGGATAAAATTCTGACACTCACTGATCGTTGTTGTAATCTAGACCTTCGATGATTGATGCGTTCTCTTAAGCTGTAAGATAATATAAAATACGCATATATATTCATTTCTTGTTTATTTGATTTACCAAGTGATTCCTATTTTTATTAGGATGACATACGAGGTATTTTGGTAAATAAGAACGATTATATGATGTGCTATTATAAATTATTTATGGTCACTATGTTCCAGTGCGCTGGATTGATGACGTCCCCGAAATGAGCTCAGGAATGTACATTATGTTAAAACCCTGCTGGTAGACGATTATCTGACATAATGATTGAGGATCTGAGTAGTACTAATTTCGGAAATGAATAAGAATTTGATTAATTATTTTGTCAGTACTTTAATTAATCAACGGACGTTATATCTTAAACATATGGAGGTAAATCGATCAATCAGATTAATATTATTTAATCATGGAGGTTCGAATTTATTGATAAATTAGGAGCTAAATGGGGAGAGCAATAATATTACTCTAGTGGGATGTTTTATTATTTAATTCCATTGAATAAGGAATCAATTTTATTCCATATTTATTATTCCATTAGGAAACGAATATTCCTACTAGAATCTTGTCTAAGGTTAGGAGACTTGGGAGACTTCTAAAAGGTGATGAGTAGTATGAGAGTTCCATCCTAGATTGGATTAGTAATTGGAGTAGAATTATGATTTCTTGGCCTAATGGGATAAGCTCATATTTAGCACCTCCTTAAGGTCCCTAATGGAGCCTATAAATACACCATGTCCCAACCTCTCCTACAATGTTATGTTGGCCGATTTTTCTCTTCTACATACACGAGAGAATAGCATCGTTCGAGAGTTAGGGAGATTCGATTAAACGCTCCACCAAGTCAAATCGAAGTAGGTGTTTAGGTAATCCATTAGAAGGCTTTTTGGTGCAGTATATTCGAGTCTTATATATATATATATACATATATATATATATATATATGTATATATATATATATATATATATATATTCGGTCACCTACCTCAGCCGATCCCCGCCGTCCTCCGCCGTGAACTGCCACGGGAGATCGCCTGTTACCGCCGGACATCGCCCGAGCCCAGCCGAGCGCAGCCACTTGCTACCGCAAGCAGCCGCGTACCGCCAGGCCCCACCAGCGACGCCCAGCAACACTGTGCGAGTGCCCAGTATCGCCCGCGACTTGCTCTTGTCGCCATTCGCCGATCGCGCGAGTTCCCAACGTGCGCCACTACAACGCGCGCACACTCCGCGAGCGCCCAGGAAACTTGCGCACGCCCGCGTGACCCCAGACGCACCGCGCCAATCCGCAGCGGTATAGGAGTCCCGCACCAGCACGCGCGACACGTCCCAGAACCCGTTCACGCTGTCCTGCATCCCGCGCATCACGCCTAGCGCCCGACGGCACCTGCTTCCGACTGCGTCCAGCGTCCGCGACCAGCCCGCTGCACCAACTCCGATACCCGAGCTACCATGTGACCGAGCTTCGTTGGAATTTTCGATTAGAATGGAATAAAGGCCAAAATTATTTGCTCATTAGATTGTGGTGTTCAGACGAACTACATCAACGGTATTCTACATCGTCTCTGAGTCGGCAAAAAAATTTAAAAGATAATGTCCATATCCTAACTATAGATTCCGTTGTGTTAGGATTTATTTCGATATGTTCAATATTGTGTATGTTGTTTGACGTTCCTCATAGAACCCAACAACTGATATCAGAGCCCAGGTTTAATTCAACCTCGGGCACAGTTTGAATTTGGACTTTGCCTGTTTACATGAATTATGTGCGTACGAACGCAGCGACATAGTAGATTAGAAATTTCAATAAGTTTTTGCAGGTGATTTCGAATCCGAGTATTGCGGCTCGTATATATGGATTTTAATTCATGTTGAATGTATGCTGTTTGTAAAGCCTCGGACATGTCGAGGAATTTTTGGGTTGGTGAATGCTTGTAATAAATTATTCGCGCGGTGGGACACCGCATAGTTTATTTCTTTCATAGAAACTCATGTATGGCTCCTGCGCGGGTCATAGGATGAATTATATAATTTTTGTTTATATTATTCATTATTGATCTGGCGGACGTGGACCAACCTTTACTGGGAGAGGCGATAAACACGTATACGGATGTCGTGGTGATGATCCAATGGCGACTTTTTCTGAGACGACCAACTCAGTGGGAGTCACTGCAAAAAGGGGGTTCCAATCCCTGAATCGGTGGACACACTCAACAAGTACATGTGTTTGTCCCATTTTTGTAGCATTTTTTGTTATCTTTTTATCTTTTCTTTTCCCCTATTTTGAGTCGTTTAGATGAGTTTTAGTTAATTTTATGGTTTATTTTGTGTTTCACTTTATTTCGGGTTTTCTAGTATTTTCTCGGTCGCTTGTTGTGTGTCGTTTTTGGTGTTCAGGTTTTAGAAGTCGAGAGGATTCATTTTCCATGATCAATGGACCAGGCATATATGGATAAATAGAGCATTTCGATAGGAGTACATGGGAGAAAACAGAGCCAAATTCGAAGGTCGAACGAGCACATGAACGAATAATACGCTAAATGCCCTTAAACCTGATGTTCCAGCCATCACACCGTGCAGCCGCCACGTCTTGGACAAACAACCAGATCCCAGCCCCGCGCCGCGGCGCACGACACGCCGCGGCGCCTGCCACTTCATCTCTCCCCACGCAGCTCGCGCGACCCCCGCGCCGCGAAGAAGGAACCTGTTGCGACCTTGCTACTGCCCCGCGCCATGAAGGAGGCCTCTCACCGCGCCGAGAAGACCGCCGCGCCGCGACATCATCTCTTGCCGCGCCTCGAAGAAACACCGTGCCGGGACGCCTGTGTCCAGTTCTCAGCCAACACCACGTGAAGATCCACCTCTGTCGCGCCGCGCCGCGCCGGCCTCCGCGTGAGGGATCCCTCCGCCGCGCCGCGAGCATGTTGCCACGGCGTGAAGCTCACTCCCAGCACACCTCTGTCGCGCCGTGCCACCGCCGCAAGGTCGACAGAGACTCCAAGCTTTCTGCCTTGCCGCGCCGTGGAGTTGTCCGCGCCGTGATGCGCCACCATCCCCTGCGCCGTGTTGCAGCGCTGCGCCGCGGTAGATCCAGGCCCCACGCCGCGAGACTCCATGATGCCCGAGATCCCTGCTGTTAGTATAAATAAGAAATTGATCCTTCCGTTAAAAAAAAAAAAATCATTATTCTCTCACGCAAGAAAAAAAAAAAAAAAAAGAGGCCGAAACCCTATCTCTCGTTCAAAGCTTTCGATTTTACACTTTTCTTTTACCGTTTTCAACGTAGAAGATTTAAGATCGGATTACATTGTTACTTTGGGATTCAAGCTTGTTTATCGAATTCAATTTCGTGATTTATCAATCGTAAGTTTCTCTCTTAATTTATTCGTTAAATATGAGTTCTTTGATTGAGACGATCATTCTTGTTGATAATTCGAGCATGAGTAGCTAAATTTACGTGCTAGGGAATAGGGGATTGATGTTTTGATTTCGATTGTGATTGTGGGCGTCCATTGATTGTTCGTTTCATACGAGTTTGATCTTTTAAAAGGAATTTTCAATTATCGTTCGTGAATATTGAGAATTGTTGAAGAGTGACACTTCAACGTCCCATTGTTTTCAATTGAATTTGATTTATTCGTGCTTGATATTGGTTATTCTATTTGATTAGTCGGTTAACCACCCTCTAGTCTACTTTAATCGGCTCTTAGAACCGAAAGGGGAGGAGTCGGTCGAAATAGACTCGTATGAACTAGGCTTGTTCGTAATGCTTAGGAGTTAAATGAATTGTTAACTTGCCGTTCTAGTTTGTTCTCTTGTTACGAAAAGTTATTGAGAATGAGTACTTGAACGTGTCGGTTATTCAAATTATCTAGCTGAACAATCACTTGTCCATTAGTTATATTTCGAACCAAAACGGATATCCTCGACTCCCTAGCTCCTTAAATCCTATTTGTTCTACGTGTTCGCTTGCTATTTACTTGATTTATTTTAATTCTTGCAGTAGTCGATAATTAAAAATCAAAACCATCTCT